GGTTCGTTTATGTGTTTTAAATTAACGTTTATATAGTTGTTTCGTATATAGGTGAGACCTATCCTCAAGACGAGCGCAGTCAATCGAGGCTTGGGGGCTACGACCCTTCCACATACCTGTGAGTGGGTATGATATATGCATATTGTGATTTGACGCGGTGGACACTCAGGTAGGTACCAGGTAAGTTGTAGATTGTTTATGTGAATTGATGATTATGTGAGATGCGTTGAGAGCTCATAAACCTGCATCCTGGTGTCAGTGTTCTTGCTTGTGGTTAGGGCACAGTCCTTCACGTGATGTTCACCTCTCGCATCATACGCTTACCTTGGATCCAAGTTAAGTGCACAGTCATGTCATACAGACCACTATAGGTGGTTCTGACTCGTAGGTGACCCGCGATTATTCGTACAGTCTTCACGTGATCGTAGTACTTGAGCATATTTATTTACACCCAATCCTGTTGTACAGACCACTTTAGGTGGTTCCGACTCGTATGTAGGTATATTTGATGAGATATGGATTTGAGCTGTAAAGGTCACGTTAGGTGACTCTAGCTAGATGGATGAGTTCTAGATTCAGCCTTGCAGGTCACGTTAGGTGACTCCGGCTGACATATCATTTGCATTAATTTATATCACCTGGCTTACATTTTTAATGCTGAGATATTCAACATGGCATATTTGTGAATTTTGTTATTCTGAGCATGGTTATGGTATAGATATATATATATATATATATATATATGTATATATTCTATTTTCTGGGAAATTATATAGGTTTTACGGCGAGGGGTTACTATCTTTGGTAATTGAAATGGTTTTGAAAAGCTTTGTTTTTACCCACTCACACTTTCTGTTTTGCGCCCCTCTAGGTTCTAGTTAGGAGTGCTTTTTGGTGGCTTCGAGGAATCCACGACAACTCTGACAGATTACCACCATTGTATGGTCATCTTTGGGTGTTGTATAATTAGTATTTGTCCTACTGGACTACACTTAGGCTATTTATGCTCTGGCTACGAATTCACACATATTTTGTGCTGCACCTTATCTTATTTAGTGCTCTAGTTAGTGTTGTTTTTATTTATTCGCTTTTCTTATATTATTTTTGCTTCCGTACTGTACACATGGCTACGTCACCTTCACGTGACGGCCAGCACGTCTTGATTTCGGTTGAGGTGTGTTATTTTGGTATCCCGGGCCTGCTTCACCACCGTAGCACGATATTGTCCACTTTTTGGGCCCCAACCACGCTATCACGGTTTTGTTTCTGGGAACTCACACGAGAACTTCACAATGGGTCACCCATTATGGGAGTGCTCTCGTGCGCTACTCGCCTAACTTCAGAGTTCCTATGGAGTCCGAAGCCAGTGAGCTCCTAAAAAGCCTTGTGCTAGATAGGGATAAGAATATACATATAAGGCTTACAGGATCCACTCCTCTAGGCGATGTGGGATGCCACAATCCACCCCCTTAGGGGCCCGACGTCTTCGTCGGCACTCCACGGCCAGGGTTAAGCTCTGATACCAAATTGTCACATCCCGGCCCAGAGTCCACCACATCTCGGGCCCGCTCCATCATCGTAGCACGATATTGTCTGCTTTGGGCCCAAACCACACCATCACGGTTTTGTTTCTGGGAACTCACACGAGAACTTCCCAGTAGGGAGCAAATGTATGAGAAATGACAGAATGCGTAGCACCACAATCAATTAAAACTCTAGCAAAATGACCAAGAATGTTTAACGTACTCATGATCAAGTCCGGATGATTCTGAGCATCCTGTAGAGATATATTGTTAACACGTCTCTGGTTTGTTGTCGTCCCCCACGACCTTTACTAGCTTGATTATTTCACCCCTGCACACAACGGCCTTGACTTGGCTGACTAGGTTGCCTCGAAGATCTTACACTACTGGAAGCAATCTCTCTTTGCTAGGGCTATCCTCCCTGATACCATTGAGATCCACCAGCTGGTATAGAAGGATACGACGTATAACCTCTAGAATACTGAAGATATCCACTCTGATAATAAAGATTCGGGGAATACTGATACTGCCTTAAAGCATAAGGAACGGCGTCATCCTAATAATGGTAAGCACCACCACGACCCATCTGACCATAACTACCAGACCCTGTAACTTGCTGGATCAGCGTTGGTGGTGGCAAGGAAGGCTGCTGGGGCCTCCATTGATTCTGAGGATAATTTATAGCTCTATGTCCCATTTACCCACAAGTAAAACATCCATTACTGCCCCTGCCTACACTCTCCAAAATGCCTATTGTTACATCTGCGGCACAACTGAGCCCATCCTCTACTAGTAACCCCATGTCTCTGGAATCTAGAACTCCTAGAAAATCTATCACCTCTTCCCTGACCAGTGGCACTAAAACCCCCCACTGAAAGAAATGGAACTAGCTCTACTTCGCTTAAAGCTATGAGTCTTGCGAAGTACTTATGTCAGTTTGGTATCAGAGCCTAAGTTTGGCAATCCTACATATTTGGTGAATATTCTAATTATTTTGGTGTCTTTTGTCAGAACTATGCTGCCTCATAGAAAGCCACGTCGTTCAACTGAGCCTAGTTTCTCTGATATAGCTCAGTTAGGGGAAAGTATAGCTCATGCTATTTAGTCCTAGCTTCGTCTTCCTCAGAACTCTCTTGGAGATTATGTATAACATAAAGTTGGATAAGTTTGAGGGTCATGAAGGACATAGAGGGGCAGAGCAGTGGCTTGTGTTTAAACGGTTGTTTCAGAAAAGGTTTATTCCCTCTGAGTATATTGATCGCAAGAAGCAATAATTTACTCAATTGAGACAAGGGAAGATGAGTATTATAGGAGATTCACTGACTTGTCTCGTTATCATCCAAATGTTGCTGCTAATCCAGTTGAGATGCTCTGTCGTTTCAGATTGGGTACTAAGAAGAAGTGGCGTTCTATGGCGACTACTACTCCTTGTGCTTCTTACTAGAAGTTCTATGAGATTTTGTTGAGGATTGAGGATTCAGAGAATATGCCTAGTGAGAGTGAGGAAGAAGAAAAATGACGGAAATCAGAAAAATGATGATAAAGGTAAAGGTCAATCATCTCAAGGACTTCGCAAGACTTAGAGCTTTAAGCGAAGTGGAGCTAATTCTAGTTCTTCCAGCGGGGGTTTTAGTGCCACTGGTTAGGGAAGAGATGGTAGATTTTCTGGGGGTCCTAGATTCCAGAAACAGGGGGATGTTAGTAGAAGAAAGGCTCCGTTGTACCGCAGATGTAACAATAGGCATTTTGGAGAGTGTAGGCAGGGCATCAATGGATGTTTTATTTATGGGCAGATGGGACATAGAGCTATAAATTGTTCTCAAAATCAGCAGAGGCCCCAGCAGCCTTTCTTGCCACCACCAGCGCTAATCCAACAAGTTCCAGGGTCTGGTAGTTATGGTCAGATGGGTCGTTGTGGTGCTTACCATTATCAGGGTGACGCTATTCCTTATGCTTCAGGGCAGTATCAGTATTCCCAGGATCTTTATTATCATAGTAGGTATCCTTAGTATTTTGGAGGTTATACACTATATCATCCCATTCCAGCTGGTGGATCTCAGTGGTATCAGGGAGGACAACCCTACCAATGAGAGATTGCTTTCAGTAGTGCAGGATCTTTGAGGCAACCTGGTCAGCCAAGTCAAGGTCATGGTGTGCAGAAGCGAAATAATCAAGCTAGTAGAAGTTTTGAGGGACGACAACAAGCCTAGGGACGTGTTAACAATATATCTCTGTAGGATGCTCAGAATCATCCGGACTTGATCATGAGTACATTAAACATTCTTAGTCACTTTGCTAGAGTTTTAATTGATTGTGGTGCTACACATTCTGTCATTTCTCATACATTTGCTCACTCACTGGGAAGTTCTCGTGTGAGTTCCTAGAAACAAAACCGTGATGGCGTGGTCGGGGCTCAAAGTGGACAATATCGTGCTACGATGGTGGAGCGGGCCCGGGATGTGGTGGACCCTGGGCTAGGATGTGACAATTTGGTATCAGAGCCTAACCCTGGCCGTGGAGTGTCAACGAGAACGTCGGGTCCCTAAGGGGGTGGATTGTGACATCCCACATCACCTAAGGAAATGGATCATATAAGCCTTATATGTATATTCTCATCCCTACCTAGCATGAGGCCTTTTGGAAGCTCGCTGGCTTCGGGTTCCATGAGAACTTCGAAGTTAAGCAAGTAGCGCGCAAGAGCACTCCCATGATGGGTGACCCACTGGGAAGTTCTCGTGTGAGTTCCTAGAAACAAAACCGTGATGTTGTGGTCGGGGCCCAAAGCGGACAATATCGTGCTATAGTAGTGGGGCGGGCCCGGGATGTGATAAACCCCGGTCTTGGATGTGACAGTTTATTTTTTTATATTTTTTATTTTATTTAATTGGAGTAATTCATTTTTTTTTTTTTTAAATTTAATTTGGCAATTTTAAACATACTGAGGAAGGCCATCTCAATTAACAACAACAAAACATTTTCCTGCTAAATGGGGCCAACTATATGAATCCTAGAATATCATTACGCTCGGTTCTATGTCATGTCCTCCGTTAGATCCAAGTACTCTAAGTCTTTTCTTAGTTCTTAGAGTCTCTTCCCAAGTTTTCCTAGGTCTTCCTCTAACCCTTCAGCCCTGGACCTCTGTCCCATAGTCGCATCTTTTAACCGGAGTGTCAGTAGGCCTTCTTTGCACATGTCCAAACCACCGTAACCAATTTTCTCTCATCTTTCCTTCTATTTCGGCCACTCTTACTTTACCTCAGATATTCTCATTCCTAATCTTATCATTTCTCGTGTGCCCACACATCCAATGAAGCATCCTCATCTCTGCTACACGCATTTTATGTACGTGTTAGATGCTTCACCGTCCAACATTCCGTGCCATACAGCATCGCCGACCTTATTGCTGTCCTATAAAATTTTCCCTTAAACTTCAGTGGCATACGGCGGTCACACAACACGCCGGATGCACTCTTTCACTTCATCCATCCAACTTGTATTCTATGAATTTACATTGTATCACACACTTGACAATAATATAAAACATGAAAGAAGATCACTAAAATAACTTGTGGGCATGGGTTCATAATATTCCTCACTCAATCATCATTTCTTTAGCTCTTCCATAATCAAACGCGATTGCATTCCTTGAGCTGCACAAAGAGAGTAGCCCAAAAGCAATAACTATTGAGTGTAGGGAGAATTCGTATATTTTCTACATCTAGCGTGAAAAGGTAATATCAATAAGAATTCCCTTAACAATAACAATCCAACGAATGTATAGAAAGAAATGGATTCGCATATGAGAAGCGATTGGAAATTGGGAGAAAAGAGGGTGACTTACCAAAAGGGGCTCATACCACGTTTTCTGTCACTCTAATTTTCTGATAAAAAGCTAGCTAATTAATGGAAGAAGTAGATCAATAATTGACAAACAAAGAGCATGTAATCAAGAATTTATTAAAGTCCATAACAAACAATATAATCTTAAGTAGCAATTGTAAAACTCCAAGTACCTGGACGAAAATAATCAAGCAATAGGCTACCATTTTCTTATATCAAGCAACAGGTTATCTGTTTTCAAATATCAAGTTCAAGATAGATCAAGTACCTAGACAAATAAGGACGAGAAGCCTGAGATTCTAATTTTCGAAATCGATGTAAGACAAAAGAATTGGCTATTGCGATATGGTATACAAACAATTCAAAATATTTCATACAAATTCGAAAAAGATTTCTTTACAATCTCTTGTTCATCTGCTTAATTAATCATTCTTTATGACACCAAAAAATTTCTCCATCGTTATCAAAGTTATTCTCAATAAAATGAAAATCAGTAAATAGAACTCACAAAACATCCTTTCCATCACATAAAACCATTAAACCCCCAAAATTATTTGACATACTTACCTTTGTGGACAAAGAGAGTGGGGAGTGAAGCAGAAACATCAACATGTTATAGCCCACTGCAAACCAAGATCAAAGTTATGCAGAAAAATCAAATACAATGAAACAAAAAAACCTTAACTTTAGAATGGGAAATTTTAACATTTTATACGAAGTACATACATAACAGTCCAAAAGCAATCTACCATGAAAAGATAACAGCAATCTCTAGCCCGTATTCCTTCTCGTAATATGAGAGCACCCTTTCTTGGAGCAGATTAATGATAACCTTCATTGCACCTTTGAACCATATGCTCTTATTCCTTTAAAAGAAACTATATTTTCTACTCTACAAATAGATAAGTTCAATCATCCTAAGATTAAAAGACCATATATTCATCGAAATGAGCTAATGTAATCTAGTTGTAACTTGAAAATTTGATTACTGCTGCAGCAAAAGGCAATTGGGAATCACAGAATTGATCACCATTAGTCCATAAAAGCTTCATCTTTAGAAATTGGCATTGGGATAGTCTTCTTATGCGTCAGCCCAGCTATGCAGATGCTAAATATGTAAATATTGTAAAATTAAAATCAAGGCTGCTTAGCTACACCTAAAACTTACACTCTGTTTAGATGAGAATATTTAAGATTACCAAGAAATTTTAAAATAACGAAAATTGATATAACGGAATTTTATTTTTTAGAATTTATGAATGTTCTTGTTTGGTTAACCTAAAAGATCAATGCAATTTGAATACAAAATTTGTTATATTTAAACTCTCACTCATTAAAATTAGAAAGTGACACCTATTTAAATAGAATTTAAACTTGAGAATTGGAAATCCCCAATTACAAGTTTCTTTCCACGTGAGAATTCTAAATTTCTATGTTTATGAATCCAAATAAGGGAATCAGTGCATATCAATTTATAAATCTGACGTTTATTCAAATTCCAAGTTTATTTCTCTTATGAAAACATAGTTTTAAAGTAAATACTACTCAAGATTCTATACAACCATGTTCAAACATTGATATAGAAATTCACTTAACAGTAATAAGCAACAGTTCCTAAATTCTAGATTCCTAACCCCTAGAATTGATGTCCCTGAAATCCCCAATTTATGAAGTTCCTAACCCTAAAACTTAAACTCAAAATTCAACCCCATATCAAATTAAACCTGAAATTAGGGAATATTATAGTTTATTCCCGCATTAGTAAGAGAAAAAAATATAAAATTGAAAATTACCCACATGAATACCTTATTACTAATGATTGTCTTCTGGAAAGACTTGCGACAGGAGGGAGATCGACGGGGACCTTAGTCGTGCAGTAAGAGCAAAAGGAGAGATTTTTAGAATTGAGAAAGAGAGAGTGAAGATCGAAGAACGGTGAGAGGGAAGACTTAAAAAGAACAAGTGTTGGAGAACGTATTTGGGTTGAGACGGGGGATGGATGGAAGTTGTTATGATCTTGTGATTACTTCGATCACAAGTACTAAGAAGGGACCAAAATGTAATAAGTAAGATAGATTTGGGGGTCATTTTCCTATTTGTAGTTGTTAAGGGAGTTTGTTTACAATTTGACAGGTTTCATGTTGTATTGGGTTACTATATAACCATCTGTTTTTCTCTGAAGTAAAAAAAAATACAATTTTACAAAACCAATTATGTTCAGTGTTCTCTTCGTCTTCCCTCGCCATTTCTGATCTTGCAAGCAAGTCTAGGTTTGAGCCTTGCTAGGGTTTGGTGCTATCATTGGTATTAGCCTCTGGTCCTGGTTCCCTTCCGCGCATGCCCCGTACTACTACCACCAATCGTATCTCTGTGATGGACGGCCGCGTTGCTGAGCTCGAGAATTCCATGGCTTCGCTCAAAGCTTCTGTCGATGCTTCCATGGTTTCTCTTCCTTCCTTAATTGACAATGCGGTGGCTGCTACTCTCGACACTAAATTGCAGCTCTACTTCGAGCAATTCCGTCGTGAGCTGCACTTTCGTCCAGGCAGTAGTGGTCTTCCTGTGCCTATGGTTCTTGACTGTTCCGATCCTCATGCATCTGCACCTGATCTACGGCCTCCGAGTCCGAACCGTTTTAGCGGTGATCATCCGCCGCGGCCACCATGGATCCAGCGCGTTGAGTTTCCTCGCTTTGTCGATGGCGATGATCCGCTTGCTTGGATTTACAAAGCTGAGCAGTCCTTTTCCTACTACAACACTGATAGGAGCATATTCATGCGACTTAAATGGCTTGTTCTCGTGCATTTACGTTATGTTTCTCTAGTTATTTTAGTCCTTTATGCTTCTTTTGTGTGTTTTCAGGTTCTAAGGGCTTAGGGAGCAAGAAAGTGCATTTTGAGGCTATTTGGAGCATTTTTGGGCATGGATTGGATAGCTTATCCATGGAGCCAAGAGGATGGACGAATTTGAAGGCCTTGTATGCTCTTTGGGACATAAAACAAAGGGCCTAGCCCAATCAAACAAACCTTTGAGCCATGCAAAACCTCTAGCCCAATCAAACAATGCATCACAAACCCAAAACCATCAAGAAACCATCCTTTGCCGTGCCTTCCACATCAATTCCAGCTTGTCTTCATCATTGCAGCCACTTTGCCCTTTTATTTATGCATTAAACCTATTTCCTTTCCCTAAATTGCAGCCACAATCCACACCTGTCCAACCTAGCTGCACCCTACATACATTAATTAGTCATTCTTTTCATATTGCACTCACATGCATTCACATGCATTTCAAGAACCAAAACAACATTATGCCGTGCCTACCCTTGCCATTTTCAGCCATCACACTTCATCATTACACCACCATTCATTCATTAATCCACATGCACATTCAATCATTCACTCAAGCACCCTTGTGCCTTGTTTCCCCCTTTGTTCCCACCAATCACATGCATCATCATCATTCAACCAACCTAGCCACATGCAACTCTTCAACATTCACCACCAATTCAACACATGCATTCATCAACATATCTAGTTGTCACTCATGCATTTCCTTCATCATTTCCAACCCACATGCAGCCACATATTCATTCACTTCAACATTAAGCCACACATACATACACATGCACCCAAAACACATCCATGCCGTGCATCCCTTTGCTTTCCAGCTCACTTATGCATTTCCAGCTTTCACATGCAATTACACACACCATTCACCCCTTTTCTATCCCTTGTGCCGTGCATCCTCTCACCAAGAAATCAAACAAGCCACATGCATTACACCCCACATGTCCCTTTAATCATTCAACCACATTCCCATTCACCACAAAACAATCACACAACACACCAACACACATGCATCCTGAAATCCTTGCCGTGCCTTCCCCTTAGATTTTCAGCAACTTCTCTTCATCATTTCAGCCACATATTCACCCACATGCACTTTAATCATTCAACCATGCAGCCACACATTCATTCTCCAACATTGAACCGTGCAAAACAACCCATTCCAGCAGCCAAATCCCTTTGTGCCGTGGGTTCCTAGCATTTCCAGCTTTTCCCTTTACATTTCACATGCATTCCATACTTTCCTAGCTGTTTTTCACATTCATTGCAGCCACATTCTCACCCATTCTCTCCCTATATAAACCACACACACTTCATTCATTTGCATCATTGAATTCACATCTCATTTTCATACACAACACACCACAAACACATCCATTCTTCCCTAGCCGTGAGTCCCACTTCCATTTCCTGCATCTTCACTTCCATTTCCATCACTTCCCATCCCTCTAAAACACTATCCAACAATCAACATATCCTTAGACCTTGTGCCACAACGAAGAGGAGGAGAAGAGTGCCTAAACGTTCATACAATTCAAGTTTGAGTTGTTGGAATTTTTAGGTGTTGCTTTTCCTCGATTGCAATGTTTAATTTCAATTCTCTTTGTCTTGTACGTATGAGGAACTAAACCCCCCTTGGCTAGGGGGGGATTCGAAATATATGTTTACGCTTGCAATATGATTTGATTACTTCTAATTACGTTTCATAAGTTGTGAATTCAATTTGTTTAACTATTTGATTGATAACCTATTTATGTATGTTTATTGAGAGTGCACGCTTAATTTTCATGCATGAATTTGACGCTAGAATATAAGTGAGTTTCACGTAATAGTTATGAACTTATATTCACAAGTAGTGGAGGTTGCTTATAAACAATCGCGTTAAACATATTCTTGGCATAAGTTTCATGCAATCATAGTAACGAATGCCTCGTCAACACTTATAGTTTTCATGTTGCTTAATGATTCTTGCTTGTATCTCTATTATGCAATTCATATAGGGAACTTGTGAGGAATGCTTTGGATTGTCGTATGCAATCATCCAATTCATTAACTTAAGGAAGACTTGACGGTTAATTTAAGCGGACCTAATTAACCCGGGGTGTTGAGAATTCATGGTTTATTGAAAAGCAATTAGAAATCGTTTTGTATGCAAGTATAACATGTGTGGAGATGAACCCCTTAGCTAGCTTCTCATCCATTCATTTCCGTCAATTTCGTATTTACAATTTGTTTTCTTTGCAATCTATCCATTTTAGTTTAATCTCGTCCAAACCTAAATCCCCCCCCCCATATTTTGTTTAAGTTTTAGTCTTAATCTTTCTTACTTTTAGTTTTGCATTCTTCGAGTTTAGTATAGTGTTTTAAACTTGTTTTTACGTTTTTGAAGTCAAATCCAAGTGGTTAACAATCCCTCCTAATCCCAGGTCCAGAACGATCCCTACTTATACTTATACTACAATTGACAAAAAGAGGGTTTAATTTGTGTGCGTATAATTCTCGCATCAAACACTCCGCCTGATTCTCGAGTGCTTACTGCTTCCTTCCATTTCGATGGTGAAGGGTTACAGTGGTTTAAGTGGCGCGATTGTTTGCGCACTACACCAACCTGGAAGGAGTTCACTCGCGCCTTGTGCTTGGAGTTTGGACCACTCGAATTTGAGGACATAGCGGAGACACTTTTTAAGCTGCGCCATACAGGTACTTTGAAGGATTACATCTCTGAATTTAGGCGGTTGGCTACTCGTACTTCCGATATTAGTCCTGTGTTGCTTAAGAGTTGTTTCCTCGGCGGTTTAAAAAAAGAGCTGAAGTTTGATGTTAAATTGCTTAAACCTGCTACTGGCCATGATGCGATTGCAATTGTCGTCCAACTAGATGCTAAATTTACTAAGTTTAAGAGTAATCCGGCTAAACCCTCTCCTGTGTTGAAACACCAGTTTGTCCCTGCCATTACTCCTCCTTCCGTGCCCCCACACCCTGGTAATCTGCCAGTCAAGCGATTGTCCCTTGAGGAAGTTCAACGGAAGAGGGAGAGAGGCGAGTGTTGGTTTTGTTTAGATAAGTGGACCAGGGGTCATAAATGTGGATTAAAACAACTTCTTATGTTAGATCTACTGGATGGTGTTGATGAGTGTATTACTGAGGAGCAGCCGGAGACTTCGGAATTGTATCATATGGCACTTAGTGAATGTGCTTTTTATGGTACCACTGCTAGCCAAACACTGCAAACAATGAAGGTCAAGGGTTTGTTGAAAGGCCATTCTGTCAAGATCATTTTGGATTCATGGAGTACTCACAATTTTGTGGATTCCAAGCTTTTGAAACAGTGGGGATTTCCAGCTCAAACTACAAGGCATTTTGAAGTTATGATTGCAGAGGGGGGAAAAGTGAAAAGTTCAGGGTGTTGTAGGGATATGCCACTGTCGTTGGGGGGTTACAAGTGTGCAGTGGACCTTTATGCTTTGCCATTGGGAGGATGTGATGCAGTGCTAGGTGTACAATGGCTTTCTTCTGTGAGTCCAGTTCTGTGGGACTTCCAACTCTTAACTATGGAATTCTCTAAGGGTGCTTAGAAGTTTAAGTTGTTTCATAGTCCCCCAACGTCCCATTCATTCAGGAACTCCTCTTGCATAACGTCGATAAGGAACTTAACAGTTCTAATGTTGGTTTATGTCTTTATTCTCTGGAAATTACTCAGTTGGAAACCAGTACTCTCAACTCGTCACAACTGCAGGAATTACAAACATTGTTGGGAGAATTTGAAGACATTTTTGAGCTACCTACTAAACTGCCACCATCCAGGTCACTTGATCATTCTATTGCTTTAGTTCCTGGTGCTAAACCTCCCAACTTGAGGCCTTATCACTATGGACCTCTTCAAAAAACGGAAATTGAGAAGGCTGTACAAGAGCTTTTGGATGCAGGATTTATAAGGGCTAGCCATAGTCCCTTTTCATTCCCCGTACTTTTAGTCAAGAAGAAGGAGGGCACATGGAGAATGTGCATTGACTATAGGGAATTGAATGCACTTACAATTAAAGACAAGTATCCTATTCCCCTCATTGATGACTTGTTGGATGAATTGCATGGCTCAAAGTATTTTTCTAAGCTCGATTTGAGATCTGGATATCATCAAATTTTAATGAAACCTGAGGATGTGGGCAAGACAGCATTTAGAACCCATGAAGGTCACTATGAGTTTTTGGTGATGCCTTTTGGGCTCACTAATGCACCTGCAACATTTCAAAATGTGATGAATGATCTGTTTAAACCATTCCTCAGGAAGTTTGTGCTTGTTTTCTTTGATGATATACTAATCTATATCACCTATTGGCAGCACCACTTGGTTCATTTGAAGGAAGTACTCACTGTGCTTCACAAAAATCAGCTATATCTCAAAAAGTCTAAGTGTTCTTTTGGTCAAAGTAGTGTTGAGTATCTGGGACATATAGTGTCTAAGGATGGGGTGGCTGCAGATCCATCAAAGCTCAAAGCAATTCAGAAGTGGCCTCAACCCAGAAATGTAAAGGAGTTAAGAAGATTTTTGGGGCTTACTGGCTATTATCGACAATTTATTCCCAGTTATGGGAAGGTATGTCAACCTTTGTACAATTTGACCAAAAAGGAGGGATTTGCTTGGAATGATTCAGCTAGTGAAGCTTTTAGACATCTCAAGAGCATTATGTCCTCACCACAGGTTCTAGCACTTCCAGATTTTTCTCAAACCTTTGTAGTGGAGTGTGATGCTTCTGGAAATGGTATAGGTGCTGTTTTGCAACAAAATCACTAGCCAATTGCAATTTTCAGTCAAGCACTTGGGCCTAAAAACCAGGCATTATCGACTTATGAGAGGGAGCTTATTGCCATAGTTCATGCGATACGTAAATGGCAGAATTATTTGCAAGGAAGGCACTTTGTTATAAAGACTGACTATAGCAGTTTGAAGTATTTCTTGGGGCAGAGAACCAACACTCAGTTCCAACAAAAGTGGGTGGCTAAACTTCTCGGATTTGATTATGGATTTCAGTATCGAAGTGGGAAGGAAAACACTGTGGCAGATTCACTCTCTCGAATTCCAGATCATCATGAAATTGTTGCAGGGAACACTATGGAATTAGCTGCCATATCTTATCCATATTTTGGATAGATGGATGACTTGAGAAGGTATAATGAGAGTGATACTTGGATCATGGACAAAATTAGGGAGGTGACTGAGTACAAACTTAAGGGCACCACCAACCTTGCTTTAGCTAAATATTCTCTCGATAATGGGTTTTTATGCTACAAGAAGAGGGTAGTAATTAGTCCAACTTCTCAGTGGAAACCAAGCTCATGGAGGAGCATCATTGCACACCAGCAGCAGGTCATCAAGGGGTAGCTAAAACTTATCAAAGAACTAAGAAGGGGTTTCATTGGCAGGGAATGAAAGGGGATATAAGGAAGTTCATTGCTGAATGTGCCATATGTCAACAAAACAAGTTTGAAACCATTGCACCACCTGGATTGCTTCAACCCTTACCTTTGCCATAAAGGGTGTGGTCTGATATTAGCATGGATTTTATAGTAGGATTGCCCAATTGTAAGGGAAAATCAGTTATCATGGTGATTGTCGACAGGCTTTCAAAGTACAACCATTTGATTGCACCTGCTTATCCTTACAATGCTTCTATAGTTGCTCAACTATTCATAGAACATGTTTTCCGATTGCATGGCATGCCTAATTCCATTATGAGTGATAGAGATCCAGTGTTTGTAAGTGCATTTTGGAAAGAACTCTTTAGACTCCAAGGTTCCAAACTCTGCATGAGTTCTGGATATCATCCTCAAACTGATAGGCAGACTGAGGTAATGAATCGATATTTGGAGACCTACTTAAGGTGCTTTGTTGGAGGACGGCCGAGGAAATGGATTCAATGGTTGCCATGGGCAGAATGGTGCTTTAACACTGCATACCATACTTCATCAAAGTATACTCCTTTGAAGTGGTGTATGGTTTTCCCCCACCTTACATTGTTCCACATGAGGTTGGTTCCACTAAAGTAGCTTCTGTGGAACAATGCATGATTGAAAGAGATGGGTTGTTGTCAGTGTTAAAGAATAATTTGCAGCTTGCTCAAAATCGCATGAAAGTGCAAGCAGATAAGAAGAGGACTGAGAGACACTTTAATATTGGAGATATGGTGTATTTGAAGTTGGTGCCCTATCAACTACACTCATTGGTGAATCATAGTTATCACAAATTACAACCACGATTCTATGGTCCTTATGCAGTTCTGGAGAAGATTGGTGTTGTGGCATACAAATTGAAACTTCCTGAGGGGTCCAAAGTCCATCCTGTGTTTCATGTTAGCTATCTCAAAAAACAGGTCGGGAACAATGTGACTCCCCAGATTGAACTTCCTTTGGTGTCTGAGGATGGCTTGGTTCAGGATATACCTGCAACAATTATGTCTAGAAGGATGTATAAAAAGGGGAATGTGGCTGGAGTTCAACTTCTAGTGCAATGGAAGGGTAAGGAAGTTGCAGATGCCACTTGGGAAGATTTTGATGAGTTCCAGCAACGATTTCTAGGTTTTGTAGTTTAACCTTGAGGACAAGGTTGTTCTGAAGGGGAAGGCATTGTTATGATCTTGTGATTACTTCGATCACAAGTACTAAGAAGGGACCAAAATGTAATAAGTGAGATAGATTTGGGGGTCATTTTCCTATTTGTAGTTGTTAAGCGAGTTTGTTTACAATTTGACAGGTTTCATGTTGTATTGGGTTACTATATAACCATCTGTTTTTCTCTGAAGTAAAAAAAAATACAATTTTACAAAACCAATTCTGTTCAGTGTTCTCTTCATCTTCCCTCGCCATTTCTGATCTTGCAAGCAGGTCTAGGTTTGAGCCTTGCTAGGGTTTGGTGCTATCAGAAGTGGAATTTGCAAAAAGAATTGGGAATGGGAATGGGAAAGAAAAAGCAGAGGAAGGACTTTGTGCAACGAATGGCTATTGCTCCTCGCGCCAAGTTGCTTTTCTATTTTTATTTTTCTTTTTCAAGGACTTCGCACGACCAGTCGCACATATTGCTTTTGGGCGATAATTTTTTTGTCGCGCAAAGTTTTTATTCTTTTTTAATTTGATCTTTTAACTTTTCACAACGACTTATAAATTTTCATCGCACAAAGTGCTTTTGCGTGATGATTTTGATTTCATCATGCTAACAAATTTTTCTACTAGTGGGATGAGATTAGTATGAAGGAACAATGGTATTTCCAACGCAATAGTCGACATCTAGCTTTCAGTAGGACGTTTTGTGGTTTGACTTTTCCTCTTACTCTTGTAAAGGAACAAAATGTAGAGGATGAGCAAGATAAACGCTCTTGACTTCTTAGAACACTCATCCTCTGATACCTGTAGGTTTTACTATTATACGTGCCTCATTTGTATCTTAGAGTTGTCAGCAAATATATGAGTTTTGTTTGTTAAGCCATCCACAAATATGACACATTTTCTAGTAGAGGTAGGCTTGGTGGGTTACATTCGCTTTATGCCTTCGAGCATTCGTAAGCCAAAGGATATATTGATCAGGCGTTTCAACTTGAAGGGACTTTTGACAGTTAATAGTGCTTTTTATGTTGCTTTGAGTTGAATATGAGTGAAGAAAGTTGAGGTTTCACTATAAAATCAATTGGCAATATAGGAAGTAACCTAATTACTTATAAGCACATGCAAGGTCTTTCCTCTCATAAATGTGGGATTCATTCTCAACATGCCCCCTCACGTGTGGCGAATTTTTCAAGCCTAACACGTGGACAACATAACTCCTAGAGTGACGTGAAGTACGTGTGGCCATTGGATTTTACATGTGGGACAACATGCTCTGATACCATGAATGTTGGTGCATTTCATAAATATATATATATATATATAAATATATATATAATATGGTGTTGCATGTATAATGAGAGATTGGTTGTAGTGTTGTGTCTCTTGGATTGAAGAAGCACAACTAAGGGATATGCCCCTTGATTATTTAATCAGAAGGTTATGCCTTTTTGGTAAAAGGCACATGTATGAAAGGACAACAGACTTGCATCCATTCAGTGGAAATGAAAAAATGTTGGAAAGATCTATTTGATCTTCACACACTTTCAGTTGAAGGATGTGGCTTTTCTATGCACACTTTGAAATAAGTTCAACGAGTACAATATAATCTAGATATAGCCCACGTTGAAAGAAGCAATGACTTTCTAGAGATGCTGCTTTCTGGAAAGAAGCTATAGATGATAAGATGAACTCATTGTTATCACACCAAACATGAACTTTGGTTGACTTACCACATGGATCTAAACCAATTGGTTGTAAGTGGGTGTTTAGAAGGAAATATAATACTAATGGTTCTCTGCAAACCTTCAAAGCCAGATTGGTAGCCAAAGTTTTTAAACAGAAAAAGGAAGTTGACTACTTTGATACTTATGCACCAGTTGCAACAATAACCTCCGTTAGAGTGTTGTTTGCTTTGGCATTTGTATACAATCTATATGTACATCAAATGGACGTGAAAACAGCCTTTTTAAATGGCGATTTGAATGAAGAGGTATATATGGAGCAGCCGGAAGGATTTGTCCTTCTTGGTAATGAAAATAAGGTTTGTAAATTAGTGAAATCATTATATGGTTTAAAACAAGCGCAAAAACAATGGCATGAAATATTTGACTTCATAATTTTGTCAAATGGTTTTAGACACAACAATGCCGATAAGTGTATTTATTCTAAAGTCACTAATGAATACGGTGTTGTCATATGCTTATATGTAGATGATTTACTAATTAATATTTGGGACCAACATGAAAGCTATATCTGAAACTAAAAAGTATCCAAATTCAAACTTCAAAATGAAAGATTTAAATGAAGTGGATACTATCTTAGAGATTAAAGTAAAGAGACATGATAGGGGTTTTGCATTGTGTTAGTCACACTATATTGAAAAAATATTGTAGAAAATCATTTGCAAATTGCAAATAAAAGAAGCACCGACCCTTTATGACTCTAAGATGAACATGCTAGTAAATTCTGGCAGATCAGTTGCACAACTTGAGTATGCTGGTGCAATTGAAGGATTGATGTATGCTTCATATAACACAAGGCTAGATATAGCATTTACTGTTTGTAAACTTTCAAGATACACTAGCAACCCTAGCACTTTACATTGGAAAGCAATTTGTAGAGTTTTTGGTTATCTTAAAAAGACTACTAATTTGGGTCTATTTTATTCAAGATTCTAGCAGTACTAGAAGGGTACTCAAATGCTAGTTAGATTACTAGCACAAGCAATAATAAATCGACAACATGATGGATATTCACTATTGGGGGAGGTACTGTTTCTTGGGTATCAAAGAAACAAACTGTTATATCACACTCCACTATGGAATATGAGTTTATAGCATTAGTAGTTGCATGCAAAGAAGCAGAATGGTTGAGAGATTTATTGTTCGACATAGAGTTGTGGCCACAACCAATGCCATCTATTTCTTTGTATTGTGATAGTGAAGCTATATTGTCTAGAGCTTATAGCAAAGTATATAATGGCAAATCTAAACATATTAGCTTTAGAGATGAATTTGTCAAACAGTTAATAACACAAGGAGTTGTTAACATAACTTACGTAAGGTCAAATAAAAATTTGGCAAATCCTTTTACTAAGGGACTCTCGAGAGATATGGTACAAAGTACATCTAGTGGAATGGGGCTGAAACCCTTTACTATAAATCACCAGTAATGGTAACCCAACTTTGCCTAGAATATCACTAGACCAAAGTTCAATGGGTAATAACAAGTTACTGATAAGTGGTTTGAATAAGCACCGAATAATTTATATAGCCTATTCCAGAATGTCAGTGCATAGTGCTATGATAGAGAGGATGAAATTTAAATTCTTAATGAGGCATAATAATATAAGATGTTCAAACGGTAGGAACATATAAAAGTAACCTCACCTATATAAACATAAGGAGTGGTGCCACTTCTACCAAGAGTTTTTCTGGGTTTCTCTTCTAAATGTTTATGAAACCAGGATGTCGCATATGGCCATAATAGTGCTGACCAAATACAAAGTTTTCTCCAAGGAAGCAATAATATGATCATGTGTGTAATATTTTCTAGTTTGGACTAATAAATACATAGTTTAAGGTATGGAAAGGCCGCTATTGTATTTGTAAGAACCTTGAGATACTTACACTAATTGAAGGTTAAAATCGAAAGATACCTTTTTGTATGCATGAATATATGTGTATGATTAAAGTTAATGACATAAAGATTGATTCATTATAATATTTCTAGTTTTATATATTTTGAGATAGAGAAGATGTTTCCAAGTATATGAGCATATATATATTATTGAAATAGGGAAAGATTGTTGGTGTATTTCATTAATATATATATATATATATATATAATATAATACGGCGTTGCGTGTATAATGAGAGATTGGTTGCAGTGCCATGTCTCTTAGATTGAAGAAGCACAACTAAGCGATATGTCCCTTGATTATTTAATCAGAAGGTTATGCCTTTTTGGTAAAAGGCACATGTACGAAAAGAAAGCAAACTTGCATCCATTCAGTGGAAATGAAAGAATGCTGGAAAGATCTATTTGATCTTCACACACTTTCAGTTGAAGGATGTGACTTTTCTGTGCACACTTTGAAATAAGTTCAACGGGTACCATATAATCTATATATAGCCCACGTTGGCTGCATATTCGTATATACATTTTCAAAGCAACAATTTCTTATCCTCTTTCTCTCTATCTAAATTATACAGTTTCCTTTTAAAAGATTTTAAGGAAAATTCAGTTCTTGCTAAACTAAAATTCCAAACTTTGTTGTTTCCTGGAAGTGATTTGCTTTAGACCTATTAGCAAACTCATATTAGAGTGGGGGCAAATATCACTTTAAGGAAAACGTATTAATGTGCCTCAAAGTCATTTTTTCTGTCAAATTCTCAACCTTATCCTAACAATGAAGAAAGTTGAGATTCCACCATAAAACTAATTAACGATATGGGGAGTAACCCAACTACTTATAAGCACATGCAAGGTCCCTCCTCTCATGAGTGTGGAATTCATTCTCAACAATGAGGGGCTCATGATGTAGCTTCTTCTTCTATCAATCAAAACCCTTTTGGAGTTCTGTGCAGCTATATATGGGCAGCAAGCGTTCCCTATAAAGTGAAGATGTGCGAACGGAATCTATCGAGATATCATCCTACTAGGGAGAATTTGATGAAAAGACATGTTGGGACGGATCGCTCGTGTACTCTGTGGTTTTCAAGGAGAAACAACGCTTCACCTTATGAGGGATTGTCCCTCTGCTATTTGTGGATGGCTTTCGACACCACTGAGGTACCCTGACAGAGGAGTGCAATCGAACTCAATGGAAGAACGGGCACTTCACTTGGTCTTGAAGCTAAGTTGGGCACAATTTTGACCTATCTGGTGGTTTGGTGGGCAGTTTCGGTCTCCAAGAATGACGTCCTATGGAAAGCTAAGATGGTGCGACCGGATATCTCTATCTCTCGAGCAGTTAGCTGCTGGCAGGACTACATGAAATTTTCCTTCCACAGGTAATTTGCTAGTGTAGGAGGCTTGGAGATCTGTAAGTGGGAACACCCCATGCAGGCCATCTAAAAATTAATGTTGACGGGGCCGTTGCCTTAGAAAAAAGAAAAAAAAGAAAAAAAAAAAAAAGAAGGTCTAATATACATGATTTTGGCACATACTGTTTTTAATATGGTCTGTCATGAGTACCCAAAACCAATAACCTTATAACTACGAAAACAAAACAACAAATATTCTCTCAGAAAAGAGAAGGAAGCACCCAGAAAGAAAAAGAGGGATGGAAAGAATGGATAGTATAAAATAAGCTCTCAGTGATAGATAGGTTAATGAACGCTGCAGATGCTCAATTTTCTCTTTTGCTTCTCGGACTTTGGAGGATGGAGAGCCAACTTGATAGCTGCGTCAAAAACAGCCTTCACATTCTGCAATTTTAACAATAATTTTTCATCTCATCAGCACAAGCCACAAGACCAAGTGAAAAATTAATAGGGTCGATTTCAACATGGTACCATAAGTTTTGCACCAGAGAGCACCGTTTATACACACGGTTTTGTTTTGGACACTTCAGTTACCCTTACTCAGCGAAATTTCAACAATGTGTCCAAATTATAACCATGAGTGCAGACATGAAATTTCTGGGTAATTAATATATACTGAAATTAACCCTAATGTGATTGCAAATTGCACCAAATATTCACATATTTTAACATTTAAAAAAAAAACACATTTTTAGGTTCCTGGAGAAGTTCCTCAAGAAGACCATATATTGAATTAAACATAAAAGAACCCCATTTTTCTTTTCATGTTTATCTTTTGTGAATTTCATGAGCGCACGTATATCTAAATACCTACATGCTGTTTCTTTGAGCTGCACTCTATATATGCCACAGCACCTATTCGCTTCTTCAAATCTTCACCCTACAACATTTTTAAAAATGCAGAAGAATAATTAAATTATAATAAAATAAAATTAAAAAGTTCCCCAGAATTGAATTTTCTATCATATTAAAATAATTCAGCTTTACCAATGTCACAAAACAGCAGTAATAGGGACCAAAGTAGCTGAAGTGGAAATCTACCTGTTGTGTAGAGATGGTACTTGCCCCGGGATAATCCATTAGGAATTGTCTGTCTTCTCTCAGATCTGCCATAGCAAAGAAACCATAAGTTGTAGAAAAACAGCAGAGACAAAAACACAGAAAAATTAAAAGAAAATGAGCCACTGCGTTCTAATTTTAATCTTCAGGGCTCTTCAACAAATAAACCTCTCAAAACTTTATTTCATAGCAAAAACTACTTAACACACTGTTTCAAGAAAAATAATCCTGAACTCAGCTGCACTCAACAGTTTTAGTTGATAGCTTTATTTTTCCTATAGTATTATTCTTGAAGTGTTTTTTTACTAATATTAACAATTTTTAGGGGCCCCCACTCTCTTTTAGTGTAGATTATATCGTTTGTTCAAAAAAAAAAAAAAACAATTGTTAGGGGCCTATACTAATTAAGTGTAACATTTAATGTACCTTCTCCAACCCCCTGGTCTATTATGCTTCATGACTAAAGTAATCTTTAAGGAAAAATATTAGATTGAAGTTTAAAGACAGTTGCTTTTTCTTTTGTTAATTATAATTTTTAGCTTTCCTAACCAAACATTCTCCATTATTTAGAGCATAGAGAAATTTATAAATGGAAAAAAAAAAAACATAGCTAAATCACTCAAATTTGCAGAGGTAGCAATTCCTAGTGGAAAGAATGGTTACCTAGTTTTGTCCCCACAAGAATGATAGGCACTGATGAGGCATAATGTCTTAGCTCAGGGATCCACTTCTCCAACATAACAAGAGGAGAAAAGAAAAAGGAAAAGGAGAGACAGAAAACACTGAATCTGATTAGTATATACATTTGGTACATGCAATTAGAAAAAGTGAATCTTAAGAAGAATTTAATAGCTAAAGTAGAGAAAAAAGAAACTCACTTTCTTTGATATGTTCTCATAGCTAGGCCTACTTATGAGAGAAAAGGCAAGAAGGAACACATCAGCTCCTCTGTAACTAAGAGGCCTCAATCTGTTGTAATCTTCTTGACCTGTAAAATTAATTCACATAGAAAGAAGATCATGTTGGAGTTTTTTTTAGTAGAACACACTGATCACCATTAAAAGTCTCTCACATTTTATAACATCTAGTTCCTCTTAAAAGTGATTGGAAAGATGGACTGTAGAGAACAAACATTGAGTTCAACCTTGGGTTGGGTTTTGGGGTGTGATAATTATATATATATTTATATATATGTATATGTATATAAAATATATTTAATTGACAAGCTGAAGACAAGTTGAGTAGCCAAGCGTTACTGCCACAAGTTTAAGACACATTTAGTAGTCAAGGGTTACTACCAAAAGGAAGGGTTGGATATTTCGACACGTATTCTCCAGTTTCTCACTAATGTCTATTATGACGTTAATAGCAATTGCAGTTGTGTACAATTTTGATATACATCAAATTTATGTAAAAACAACATTTTTGAATGGAGAAAAAGATGAAGAAATATACATTGAGCAACCTGAAGGGTTTGTGCTTAACGAACAAGAAAGCAAGTGTGCAAATTAGTTAAGTCATTATATCGACTTAAACAAGCACCAAAGCAATGGCACAAGAAGTTTGATCAAACTTTGTTGACACATGGTTTTAAAATTAACGAATCCAATAAATGTGTGTACATTAAGAGTAATGGTAACTCTTGCATTATTGTGTGCTTGTTTGTGGATGATATGCTCATAATGGGAACTAATAAAGACGTCTTAAATAAAACAAAGAAAATGTTGAATACAAGTTTTGACCTAAAAGACTTAGGTAAAGCCAATATCATTCTAGGAATTCAAATTAAGAGAAATAGTGAAGCTTATGTCCTTACCTAGTCTCATTATGAAGAAAAAATAGTAAGGAGGTTAGGTCAATTTGACTACATACCTGCTGCGACTCCCTTTGATGATGAATTCAAGTTAGAGAAAAATAATAGCAAGGCAATATCTCAACTTGAATATTTCCAAGTAATTGGAAGTACTTTAATTTACTTTTTGAAGTCCATTAAGCGTGAACTAGCTTATTCAGTAAGTAGGCTTAGTAGATATACCAGCAATCGACACAAGAGCATTGGGATACTTTAGTAAGAGTGTTAAGGTACTTGAGAAATATGCTTGACTACAGTTTGCACTACACCAAGTATCCACTTGTTGTGGAAGGCTTCGGCAATTGGATTTCTGACACTATAGAATCCAAATCGACAAGTAGATAAGGTTTTACTCTGGGAGGTGCACAATATATTGGAAATCCTTTAAACATAAGTGTATAACTCGTTCCACCATGGAGTTAGAATTTATAGCTTTAGCCTTGGCTGGTGAAGAAGTCGAGTGGCTTAAACATATTATGGAGGATATTCCAGTGTGGCCAAAGCCTGTGACTGCTTTTTGTATACATTGTGAAAGTATGGCTGCACCTAATCAAGAGCCAAAGCCATGTTAAGAAGTTGCTCTCAAATGATATTATACCCATTGATTTCGTTTGTTCAATTTTAGTTTGTTTCATTCTGATTTTGTCAATATATAGTTACGATTTACTAGTGGATTAGCATATAGTTTGTATATATATATATATTTTTTTTTTTTGAATTTATTTCCGCAATATATATAATCTGTGATTGATTGTTGATACTTTTCCAACTGATCATATATCTAATTTTGTTAAACTTAATTTAGATTTTTTTCTCAAATATATGCAAATTTTTTAGTTTTCTGTTTTCATGGCAACTGACTTGCTGAATCTAAGAGCACTTCCACCGGAAGCAAGAGAGGCCGGCGCCTAGTGGAAAAAACAAGCTGAGACTCAGCCAATCCACTCCAGCCCGTGGAATAGACTGGCACCCAGCCCAAGCCAGTCCACAAGTTGGCCTAAAATCGACAGAGGAAGGAGACGGCTCATCTGACGCCTTGCTAACATCATGGCTACAGTCTTTCTCATCTGGAACCCCATCTGCATCCTTGGAACCCATCCCGATCCCTGGAACCCCATCAACCCCCTTCCACCTGATAAATCCATATATTCAACACCATGTCCCCTTTCGAAATCGTGATCTTCTTGCAACTCGGATCGTCGTCGATTGGTTGATTAACTCGAATTTTCCTGCAACTGGAATTTTTTTTCCGTTTTGTCTATTTTCGATGAATTTTTTAATATGTAGGTATTGATTTTTGGGGGTTTACGGTGTGTGCAGGTCCAGGATGGTGGGTGTCCATGTTCAGAATAGGGTAGATTCAACGACGTGGTGTACAGAGAGGAAAAAAAAAAGGAAGAAGAAGAAGAAGAAGAAGAAGAAGATGGTTTACAGAGAGAAGAAAAAACTGGGAAAAGTGGGAATAATAAGAAGAAGAAGAAGACGGGAGTAGGGGAGTCAGAGAAAAGAAGTCAAAAATTAAAAAACCATATTATTATTTTATAATAAAAATTAATAATATTTTAATAAAATTGACTAGGCTATTTTTTGTTAGGGGTGAAGATGTTTTGGCCTATTACTGTTCACTGGGATCTATTACTGTTTATTTGAGTGAATAAATGAGATAAGTGCTGATACAAAGTCTTTAAAGGTGAAATTACTTTAAGAGGCCCCAGCTCACTCACTCTACCTTTTTCTCTTTACGAAAAGCTTGACATAAATGAAACATAAAAATAACATTATGCAGTGAGTGGAAACATTTATCGAATGGCACAATGCTATAAGTGCATAAGAATTAATCTAAATAAAGAATTCTTTTGCTTTTTACAGTTAACACTAAGAAGAAAGAAATTATAATATGTGAACATAACTGATTTATATTATTGCGGTCTTTGGGCATCACACATTAGGCTAATATTAATTTTTTTAAACAACTCTACTTTTGCAAGCGGCTCGCATTAACATTTAACAGCGGCTATGAAGTTACAAAGTGAGTAAGAACACTTACCCCAACACTCAAGATCCTAAGTTCGGTTCTCTCATCCATTGTAGCTTCTATATAATAAAACTCTAATTTTCAACTTTGCTTGGAATTTTTCCTTTCCATTTGAAAGTATTGGCATTCATATCCTACTTATTAGGACCAAAGCTTTATAGTTTATTGTTTGTTTTATTGCGAAGAACACATGGCTCATGGATGCATACTGGAAAATGATCTTAGTTTGTTTGCTTTAGTGGCATGAAGCTGAAATTAAGATGCAGTCTTAAGCCGCTTTATCTAAAACAAAAGTACCAATAATTGTCATAACAAAATTGGCAGAAAACTGAAGTACAAGCAAGCAACCAAAGTTCAAAATTCCTATCAGAATGCAAATTATACAAAGAGGAGAGAGAGAGAGAGAGAGAGAGAGAGAGAGAGAGAGAGAGAAAGAGAGAGAGAGTACCAGCAGTATCCCAGAGACCCAAATTAACAGTCTGCCCATCAACCGAAACATTGGCACTGAAGTTGTCAAAAACAGTTGGAACATAATCCTGTCAATTAAAAAGAAAAAAGAAATGAGTCCAGAGAAAGATCATATATAACTGTCATAAAACAAGAAAGTAATTGGAAAAAATAGAAAAAAAAATCAATGGCAATGAAAAAAAGGAAAAAACAAAGATGTAAAGGGGTTGAAGGTAAGAAAAATATATACAGTGGGAAATGTGTTGCTAGTATAGGAGATGAGAAGGCATGTCTTTCCAACAGCACCATCTCCAACTGTCACACATTTGATGAACTTTGATGTTGATGCTGCTGGAGCTGCTGCACCTGCTGCTGCTGTTGTTGTTCTAGTATTAGCATGATCCATATGCCTGGCTACCTACACATGTGCTTAAATTAAAGTGATTAAACAATTAAAACTGATCTCTGTCTCTCTCAAATGTTTTTCGTTGATATAAAATCAACAATACGATTTAGCTCTCGTTATGTAAGGTTGCTCAAGAGCGAGAGAGAGAGAGAGAGAGAGAGACTTGCGACAAAAGTTTTCTTAGAGCTTTTTGAAAGGAAGGGAAAGATAGTGGTGATTATTGAGATCACTTTAATTTGAGCTGTCAGAGGCAAAAGGAACCTACTTGTGTCCCTTCCATGGAGGAATCTACTTGTCCATCACTCGAGATTTACGTATCTTCTTTGAATAAATATTATAATAACATCTGTTCATTCTTTTTATTATCTAAAGAACACATTTGTAAATTAGAAACTAATTTGACGATTGTTTCAAACAAATGTACGGTTCATCATAAGGATGTTATTTATGGATGACAACAATCTCCAAATTAAATAATTTTATAAAGAAAATCTTTAGATGATGACAAAAAGAATAAAAGGTTTCAATTATGATGTTCATACAATGAAAATAACTAAACGATCTCTAAATTGAATAATTTTTAAAAAGATGATCTTTAGATGTTGATAAAGAGAACGAAAGGTCCTAATTATAATGTTTATATAATGAAAATACGTTAATCGTGTGAGAACAAAAATGAGTTTTTCATGGAAATAATAGTATTATCCATCTTAATCAAGGACAGAGTGCATGTGAGTATAGCCTCCGTTTCAATCACGCCTACGTGCCTTTGACATTTCATTTCCTTTACTGTTTACGGTTGACCTTTTTTCACTTTTAGGGGTTAATGACGCAACAAAGATGGCACGCTAGCTTAGGGGTTAATGACGCAACGAAGATGGCACGCTAACGTGACCGGGTGAATGGAAATTTGGATTCATCCAAACCCTATTCATATTATTATAAAGGATGGGTAGTAGTAAAGGTCTTTGAACTGTACCTTATGTTTAGTCTTCATCATTGAACTTTTAAATTAATTTCTTCTGTTCTCTAATTTAACTCTACGTTACATGAGTGGTTCTTCCGTCAAATATATCTTTTTTCCCATTAAATTTAAGCGTACATTGGTCTTTTTATACAAAAAAAGCCATCTAATTTATTTAAAAAAGAAAAGAGCTTGGCTTCTTATGGTTAAAAGGAAGTTCCTCCTCAAAATATTTCGTGACCTATTCACAGAATTTAGTGTAACTAAGATCGTTTAGTTAATTCTTTTGGAGTTCTGAACATGCACAAAATTCTGTGAATAGGTCCTCCTCATTCCTTGGAAAGCCCTTCTCTTAAAAAATCATCTTCTTGTTTATTTAGATAAAATTCCTATTTTACCTCCTCTTAATGGAAAAGTTGACAGAGTTAACAAAAGGACTACTAGTGCAATAAATGACATAATTCGAGGACAGAAGAAACTATTAGTAGAGTTTAGGGATGAAAAATGAACTCATGATATAGTTCAGGGACCTTGGCCACAATTTATCCAAACTTATTATGATGTTTAAGCCACTTTTGCAATGGCATACGATCTCTTTCTAGTCAATATCTTCTTTTTTTTTTCCACACTAAGGGTGGGTCACCTACAAGAGTGGATCATAAAAAATATAAATAGATTTCTTTCAATAAGGAATGGTGATCGTCAGGATTGCAAAATTATGATGGGAGAGAGCATGGCTAACCAATATGCATGTTGGTGACAAATGTACATATCAGAAAAGATAGAAGAAAGAACAAGACCTTGAAGTCTCCAAGAACTAGTTGGTGGAATCTAAAAAGAGAAAAACAAGTCACTTGCAAAGAGAAAGTACTCGCCCTATGCGTTTGGGATACAAAGGGAAATGCAAGCCAAATGTGGGATTCCATGTCTTGTGTATCTGGAAATTGCAAAAAGGGTATTAGGAGAGTCTAAGGGTTTTGCTACACATCAAAAAGAATCTTGGTGGTGGAAGGAGGAGCTAAGGAAAAAGGTTAAGGCTAAGACGGAATTTTGAAAAGCCTTATACAAGGATATAACCGATTAAAACTGTAAGAGGTATAAGATAGCAAAGAAAAAGGCGAACAAAGCCATGAAAGAAGTGAAGCTAGCGAATTTGGCGATATGTATAAGCAATCAGATACCAAAGAAGGAGAGTTGGATATCGATAAATAGGAGAAAGCAAGGGAAATGAAGACAAGAGACTTAAACCAAGTAAGTTGTATCAAGTATGAGAATAGAAATGTTCTAACTATAGAGAACGTGGTTCAAGAAAGGGAAAGTGTTTGTAGCTCTAAAAAAGATGAAACAAAAAACCAGTGGGTCTCAACGATATACCTGTTGAAGTGTAGAAGGTCTTGAAAAAGGCATGTATAACATGGCTCACAAACATTTTCAATTATGTTTTGAAAACAAAGAAGATGCCAAATGAGTGGAGAAAAAACATTTTGGTACCTATCTACAAGAATAAGGGCGACATACAAAATTACATGAACTATAGAGGTATTCAGTTTATGAGTTATACAATGAAGCTTTGGGAGAGAGTAATTGTGCATATATTGAGGCAAGAGACATGTGTCCCAAAAAATTAATTTAGGTTCACACTAGGACGCTCAACTATAGAGGCAATCTATCTCTTACGAAGACCAGTGGAACAATATAGAGATATGCAAAATGATTAGAACATGACTTTTATAGGATTCGAATAAGGGTATGATAGGGTCCTAAGAGAAATGTATTTGAGGATTCTAGAGAATAAAGGAGTACGAGTAACATGTACCAAGCAATAAAGGATCTGTATGATGGAATAATGATTGCAGAAAGAACTCATGAAAAAAACTGAAAGCTTTCCCATAACCATATGTTATACAACAAACGATATCCCTTTGTGTATGCTTTTCATAGATAATATAAGGTTGATAGATGAAACGTAAAAGGGAGTAAATGCGAAGCTTAACCTTTGGCAGGAGGTGTTCGAATCCAAAGGTCTTCACCTAAGTAGGTCAAAGATAAAGTATATGGAGTGCAAGTTCGATGGAAATAGGGGTCCAAATGAGATAGAGGAGAGGATTAGAGATCAAGAAGTACCAAAGATTAAATGCTTTCACTACCTTGGATTTATCTTGCAAAAGAACGGAAAATTGGATGGAAATCTTAACCATAGAATGCAAGCTTGATGGATGAAATGGAAAAGTGCATTGAGTGTGTTGTGCAATCGTTGTATGCGACTAAAGCTCAAGAATTTTTTATAGGATGACAGTTAGGCCATCAATGCTTTATAACACTCAATGTTAGGCGATAAGTATCACCACGTGCAAAAAATGAGTATAGCAGCTATGAGAATGCTTCGTTGGATGTGTGGGCACATGAAAAGGGACATGATTAAGAATGAAGATATCTAAGGTAAAGTAGGAGTGGTTGCAATTAAAGATAAGATGAGAGAACATCAATTAAGGTGGTTTGGTCATGTGAATGAAAGACCTATAGATGCTCCAATTAGAAGCTATGATTATGAGACATGCTCAGGCAAAAAGGGTTGAGTTCGAGGAAGACTTAGGAGGACTTAGAAAGTGACTATAGACATAGTGCAAAACCGAGTGTAATGGCGTTCTAGGATTCATACAGTCGACCCCACTTAGTGGAATAAGGCTTTGTTGTTGCTGTTGTTGCTATTGTTGTTGTTGTTGTTGTTGTTGTTATCGTTGTTTTAGTTTTAGTTAGTACTACAGTATAGTGATATTCCTTTTCACTTGTAAGTGAAAGGACTTAAGTTCGAATCTCGTAAATGACAAATTCAAAACCAATTTGTTCGTCCACCCTTTAGTGTAGATATATTATCATAATAAATATATTAATAACATTTACATCAAATGTCCAAGTGCTTTTTTAATATGTACAACAATATTCTACATAAAGGTCGACCTATGCTAAATAGTTATCGGTCTCTAAACAAATATAATACCTCCTAGCCATCCATGTGAGTAGAACTTGAGACCTCTCACTTACAAGTAAAGAATACCACTAAAACCATCCTCTGGTCATGCTTGACTGCCCAAAGGGTCGAGTTTAACAAGTTGTCTATGTGAGTGCTCGACAAGATTTGGGCTTTAAGTACTGACAGTTGTATGGCTTTCTGTTGGGTTTTCGAGCATATTATTGAAACAAATTTAATTCGAATAATTAAATATGTAACGGAGAAATAATAAATCACATACAATATGTTATCCTAATTATGTACGCGGTTGGTTGTAATTGATAATTCAACAAATAAAACGGCGAAGAGATACATGAATTTTTAGCCATGCAAGTGTCCCTTGATTGGATCATCTTCATGGTTGTGATCTTCCTCTTTATGATTGATCATGTGAAGCTCTCCAAGTGTTAAACCTCTAACGCCTTCCACAATGGTTTAGGTGAGTGTGATACCTATATATAAGAGTCATACATCATGAGATTAGTTTATATAACACTACTACTATACTGGTGTGAGTTCAACATATTGATACCACACTCATGAGTTTGATATACTGAATTCATAAGTCTAATATATTGAATTCGTGATTTCAATAAATTGGTATCACACTAAAATTTTTCGCTCATTGTAGAAGTGTGATTCTCATATAAGTTAATATATTGGTATGACACTCACTTTTTCCGGCCTACGATGGAATGGCCTAAGAGTATCCATATTGATAAATTAGCAACGGATGATGAAGCGGTTAATTTAAATGTGCTAGCAATATCTCTCTTGGATCGATAGGGTTTGGGTGGCACATAAGTGTTTTTAGCTTAGGGATTTTTTCTCTTTTCTTTGAGGTAAAAAAACTGACTGCACTTAGCATTAGAGACATATGAGAAACATAAGGGGTATATGTACACCCTTAGTCGCACCTTTTGGTGTTTGACAGCTAAGGTCACGTGCCTTGCATCAAGTCCACTTTCACTTGCCCTCCTAGACTTGTGACTTGGACCACTTTTAATTAAATAAAACCCAAAACTTATTTTATTAAAACCATGTCAAATAGGGACAAATAACTAATCAATAAAAGGGTGTATGGTAGCAAAGGTCTTTGAACTTTACCCCATGTTTAATTTTAGTCCTTGAACTCTCATATTAGTTTCTTCCATGCTCCAGTTTAATTTTGCACTGCATGAGTAGTTCTTCAGTCAAATATGTCTTCTTTTCTGTCAAATTTAAGGGTGTAG